AGAATTCCACAGCGTGAGTCTGTGCCAAGCCCAGTACCTGGGAGTGGGCTTGGACAGCTCTTTAAAATCCCTCCTTTGGGACTGAAAGGCTGTGAGAGCCGGAGAATCCTCCTGCGTGTCCTGAGAAGAGTGAGCCTGCACTTCCCCCTGTGGCATTGGGCATGCTGCCCTGTGTGCTGGGGGACCGTAGTCAAGATGGGGAAGCCTGTGCGTTATGTGGTGGCCCCCTGAACTGGGCTCAGGCTGTTGTTATCCTGGCCGGGTGTGCAATGGTTTCACTGACTTGACTTGACAAACGATTTTAGTTAAGCCGGTGCCGTGCTGTGGAGGCCAGGCCTGTGGGAGTTCTGCTGCCCTGGGATGCCGCTCTCCACTCTCCCAAGCACGCTGGTCTGTTCCTGGTGCTCTCTGCGGTGCAGTGAGATTCCCCAGGACTGTAGCCTTTTTGGCTGACTGGCAAAGAGTTGTCAGAGCTGTGTAGGCTCCCGGTGGCCGAGCTGTGAGAACGGAAAGGGAAGGAAGTGTTGCAAAGTTCACATTCGCAGGAAGAAGTTTCCAGCCTGACCCCTCAGCAGAGCCGGAGAGGCTTGCCACAGGGAATCCCACTGCGCTTGCAGGAGGAATTCGATTTTCCATCCAAGAACAAATAACTGAAACGCCACTGAACCAGGTGCTAGTGTCATCTGGCCCCCAGAGCGCAGCTGCTGCCAGAAAGCAACAGATGCTGCTTCGCATGAGCATTCAGAATCTGCAGCGTTCTCCGTTAGGGGCTGGGGCACCTGGGAGCGGGGCCTTGGGAACGGAGTCACGACTGAGGACCTGGACTAGTGCTCTGTGATTTGTCAGCGGGACGTTTGCACGCTGAGGACACCAGCAGCGCTGTACACTGGCACAAAGTATGCTGGCAAGAGCCATGTTCTCCGGTGCCCGGGGGGCAGGAGCGGCTTAATGCAAGCTGGCATAGCTGCGGGCGGGGAGGGAAAGGGCCGAGCAGAGCTAGAGCAAAGTCTGCCCCATCCTCTGTTACTCGAGGCCTTGTTAAGCAATTAACCTGTAGCATGTTGTGTTTTCCTTTTAACTGCATTTGAGTTGTAACTTGGTGAGTGTGAATGTTGGCACCATAGCAGGACTCGGGGCTTTCAGATGCGGCGGGGAAACACCCTGAGCCCTTTTCATACTGGAGTGCCCCCAGCCCCCCCCAAATACGCCACCACAGCACTGCACGGGGGATTTGATGGCAAGCCCTTAGTCCAGAGACGAGGGGCCAGGCTCAGACAGATACTTTTGTGCACTAGTTCAGGCTTAACTGGTTTTATTGGCTGGCAGAGTTATCCCAGGAGAACGCTGTGACGAAGCGGGTAATGTTTCCTCTGAATATTGTGGGGGTGCCTCAGTTTCCCCTGGGCAGTTCTTAAGTATCTAGGTGCTGGGATAAGGGTGTATGATCGTTGCAGAGCCCTAGAGGGCAGGTGTGTGCAGGGGTCTGGACACAGAATGGCCAACACCCTGGTTCCTGGCACCTGATGGCCTGGCCCTTCCCCCCTGCAAGGTGAGAGCTAAAGCGTTGGAGAACAAAGGAATCAGGTGCCCTCCTATCCCAGGAAAGAGACAAAGCCCAGAGGAGGGGGGGCTGGAGAGAGTTTCAGTTTGGGGCTGGCTGGGGACATGGAGTGAAGTGCAGACGTGGTTGTTTGGCTCACTGCTCCCCAAAATGGACCCAGCTGAGGGATCCTGTTCTCTGTACCTACAAGCTCTGCTTTAGACCGTGTTCCTGTCGTCTAATAAACCTTCTGTTTTACTCGCTGGCTTAGAGTTGCGTCTGACCGCAAAGTTGCGGGGCAGGACCCTCTGGCTTCCCAGGACCCCGCCTGAGCGGACTCGCTGTGGGAAGCGCACGGAGGGGCAGAGGATGCTGAATGCTCCCAGGTCAGACCCAGGAAGGTGGAAGCTGTGTGAGCTGTGTTGGGGGAGGGATAGCTCAGTGGTTTGAGCATTGGCCTGCTAAACCCAGGGTTGTGAGTTCAATCCTTGAGGGGGCCATTTAGGGATCTGGGGCAAAAATTGGGGATCGGTCCTGCTTTGAGCAGGGGGTAGGACTAGATGACCTCCTGAGGTCCCTTCCAACCCTGGTATTCTATGATTCTATGAATTCTATGATTCTATGTGAGACAAGGAGAGCAGGTAATGAGAAGACCGACGCTCCCATTAAAACCAGCCCAGGCCGGGTGTATCCATGCAGCAGTCAGCAGGTGTGATTGCAGCACAGGGGCACGTACCTGAGCTACCCATGACCTTGCTAGACCCCACCAAAGGGAGCCCTGCTAACAGTAGCCTCTCCAGCGCAACGCTGCCCAGGACCTGGGTGTGCATTTGAGAGCCTGCCCCTGCTGCCGCAGGCTCCAGTTGTTACTTGCGCGAGCGTCGGTCTAGCTAGAGCGAGCCCAGCTCAGGTATGTCTGCGCATGCTGCCGTCACGCCTCCTAGACGTGCCCTGTGCGGGAGCTGCTGAGCGTACCCTCGCCGCCGCGGGGCTGCGTTACGTGAAACCGGTTGAGCTGTACACATGCCCATCGCAGATCGGTCCCGGCACTGGCAGTATGGTTATTTTCTATTGACCGAGCCTGTCTGGGCTTTTCACCCCCATGTGCGAACTCTCTCCGGCTGAACTGAAGCCCTTGATATCCCTCCCAATGAACCCCGGAAGGGCTGCTGAGTGCCCGTGGCCTTTACCCCATAGCTGTGCTTTGCCTTGCCCTGCGAGGGCCCTTGGCTACTGTCTGAAGCCACTCCAGAGCCAAGTTCGTGTGTCTGGATTGATGAGGTAACTTGTTTTATGCCTGTCAAACATGATGTGCTCTTGAGAGACAGAGGGAGTTCTCCCATAAACCCTCAAAGGAAGTAGCGTGTGTTTGCTCTCCTTGGGGGAATCTGACAGGGAACAGAGAAACCTATCACTCCCCGGGTCCCACGCGCACACATTCCCTTCTCCCCTTGACGATAATCCCCTCTGCTGATTAAAACCCTGGGCTGCTGGAGAAGGGCAGTGTTTCTGGGATAGTGATGGCCGCAGGTGTTCCTTGGACTCCGCTCTATTTTCTTGTGTAATTTGTATGAACTGTAGCTATTGGTTGCTATAAGGAAAAATAATTAGTAATATTGATGTATGTGCTGGCTGACACTCCAAGCCTCGAACTGTACAGAGAAAGGAGACGCGTTTGTCATTCGTATGAATTCCATCTCTACATGCTGCCTGCTTCCATCTCTCCCTTGGCTGTGCTGTGGCATTTCCATTGGAAACCGTCCTCATTGTCCTGTGTGGGAACTAAACTACAAACAGAGGAAGGAAATGGGAAAGTCAGGGGTAGACAGGTGTTACTGGACTTGCTGGGACAAGTTTGGCAAGGGTAGCTGGAGAATAAGCTTCTGTTGTCTGTCACAAGCAGGAGCGCCTTCCTGTATGAATCCAAGCACAGCGCCCCTCAGGCGGTCATGCTCTGACTGCTACCTCGCTCACAGCTGGCACTTCCTCCCGGCCCTGCTTGGACGAGAATTGCAGCCTCTCTCTCCTGGACTCAGTGTCTAGTGTGTTGGTTGCTTCTCTCGCCCACTCCATCTCCTCTGAGGTCAGGAGAGACACTGGACAGCTGGTGACCCGAACGTGTAACAGCTCATATCCAACTCCCATTATCTGAAGCTACCAGCCACCTTCAGTAATGTGGGACAGAACAAGAAGGAGATCCCAGATAAAGCCTTTAATTAAAAACCTTGGCTGAACCACACCAGCGCTGCCTGTCTGTACCAAAGGGGATGTGAGCCCTCACTTCTGGTTTTTATGTAACATACTGTACTTTCTTTTGTTGTGGGAACAAAAAGTTTACCCAGTTAATTTAAGCCCTGATTCAGCAGAGCAAATTTTGTGTGCAGCGTTTGAACGGGGCTCTCAAAATGTAACACACTCCTTGGACCTCACATGTCTGCCTGCAAAGCTCCTAATAATTGTGGCTCTGTATAACTGCTGTTACTGGTCTGCTACAGCAGGGTTCGCTTGTCTCGGACCCTGGGCACTGAAACACAAAATGCATCCCCCTTGTTTGCTTCGATAACCCACTTACTCCTGATGCGATTGGCTTCTTGTTTCTGTTCCAGAGGTGGTATTTCCCACCCCAGTGAAGGCATGTAGGAGAGTTTCCTCTGGGGTGGAAATAAGGGAATGGGATCAGAAAGGGGGCCATATAAACATAGTTTGCCTCGCTGACTGTCTTCGTCTTTGGGAGAGAACTCAGTGATTCTGCCAGTCTAGCTAGCCCCAAGTACCGCCTCATTGTCAGATGGCCTTACTTACACACCCAGTGCCCCCAGTTCAGATCAGATTTATCCAGCCACGAACACCAGGGCACCAGAGTAAAACCTTACCCAAGAAAGAGAGTGTTTAAAAAGTCCAGGCTAACCAGCTACAGGACCCGCCAGGGTTAATTCAGTTTATGTCGGAACCGAATGAGCAGAGATGAGAGTGTGAACCTTTCAGCCTACAGCCACAGTCGCTATGTTACACCTTCAGAAGAACAGCAGCAGTTTTAAAATACTCGCCCAGCGTTCTGGCCAATCAGCTAATACGGTGCCGGGCATCTCCGTAACTCCCAGCCCTGGTGCCTTGGAGCAGTGCAGACTGCAGCGAGGAAGGAGAGCCTAGGAACTAGCATTATTCCTGATGTGACCGGTTAGCACCGGAGCAGTCGTGCTCTGCTCCAATCGTCCTAAACGTCTGCCCTACCCTGGCAGCGGCACACGCATGCTCAATCTGTGTGTCTGCACGGAGCCCTGTTGGCCTCAGCATACAAGGTGATCTCTTGCGGGTGGCATTTGTGGGCAGTAGAGGCCTGTAGTTCTGGTGCACTCGTCATTGACATCTTCCCAGCCGAGGCTCTGAGGGGGGCCTGTCCCGCTGTTGCATTCAACCAGGATGTGCTTGTTTTTGACGTCTCTGTTTTCTTCTCTTACAGAACATTTCAGCACAGAAGTGAGTCTTTTGCAGCTGATTGGAGATCCCCCACCGGAGCAAATAACCAAAGTCATTGGCCCCGACAACACTCTTGCCTATGTCTTCGGGCCGGATGCCAACACCGGTCAAGTGGCCCGGTACCATCTTCCTAGCCCCTTTTATAGAGACTTCTCGCTCCTTTTCCACGTTCAGCCCACGACCGACAAGGCTGGCGTACTCTTTGCCATCACAGATGCCTCGCAGACGGTCATCTACGTTGGAGTGAAGCTCTCCACCGTGCAGGACAGGAAGCAACAGATCATCTTCTACTACACGGAGCCGGGCTCCGAGAGCTCATATGCAGCTGCAACTTTCTCTGTGCCTTCCCTGGCGAACGAGTGGACTCGCTTTGCCATCAGCGTGGAGGATGACGAGGTGGTTCTGTACCTGAACTGTGAGGAGTTTCGCCGGGTTCGCTTTGAGCGTTCTCCCGATGAGATGGAACTGGAGGATGGGTCTGGGCTCTTTGTGGGTCAGGCTGGAGGGGCTGATCCAGATAAATACCAGGTAAGTCCTCCACAGCCCAAAATCACCGGTTCCAATTAAATCAGGAGTAGAAAATGGACAGGGAGAGAGTGGGCGTGTGTGTGTGTGTGTGAGAGAGAGGCGGGGTGTAACTTGATTGTTTGGTTGCTTAATTCCTTTTTTTTAACAGGACTACAGCAAAAAGCCTGAAACTTGTCCCAGATGTGGTCCTCATTGGTGGGGCTTTGCCTAGATTTGGGGGTCAAAAGGGCTTTAGATTGAACGGAGGCTGTGGCAATGTCCTAGTGAACACTCATGGGAGAGCATGGATGTGCATTTCTCAGAAATCGTTTACACTGGGAAAGTTTGCATATCCTTGCCAAGAATGGGAGCAAAAGCATGTGGCATGGAGTGTAAGCTAGAGGGTGGGATGCAGCGGGGGTGCGTTCTTTCCGCAGCACCCAGCACGGCTCTGTTATCCTTTCCAAGTCCCTGACAGAATAAGTGCAGGCTCAATTGTGAAAAGCCGTTTGAATCTGCGCTCTTCTAAAAATACTTGTCTCCTTCGCTGCCTGTTGGCTTGGCTGATAAAATATTATGTGTTAGCTGGAAAATGTTAATGGCACCAAAGTCTATCTTTGTTAGCAGATATTTGACTATTTGCCAAGATAGTTGCAAATCCGTAGACAAGCAAGGAGAGCAGGTGATTAGTGGAGACATGGTTTTAAAACTGATCGCATTTTAACAGGGTTATACAATGTTGTAAACGGAACTCTTTTAAACCTACGTGGAATATTACCATGAGAACAGAGCCCCGTTGTTTCTAACAACCAGTCGTGCTTGCAGTTAGAATTTTGTCTTAGACTGAACTCCTTTCACCCAGAACCCAATTGTACAGGAACAACATATGCTAAGAAAAACTATGATTGTTTGTTTTTAAATTTACTGGTCTCACAAATCATAGAATCACAAAGTTCCCTCGTTTCTAAGTTTAAAAAATATTTGAATTGGTGACTATAATTGCTCCAGTTCAGACCTAAGGGACTTAACTGGGGGAGGGAGGTCACTAAAAGTTCCCTAGGGAACCAGAACAGTTAATAATTATTGGTCAGCCTGCTTGTTCTCAGGTTACTGGTGGAGTGGGGAAGTTAATCTTTCACATTTTAGTAAGAGCCTTGAACCCAGCATTCCTGGTAGGTGGCAGGTGTTTGCTTGTTTGGTGCAAAAGCATGATCAATTCGGAAAACAAAGGTTCTAGAGCGGAAAAACAGCGTGCAAGAGAAAGCGGATGTTCATGAATTTCTCCTAAATGACCAGGAACTGTCCCTCCCCTGAGCTGGCCTGCAGTGCTGTGGGGAGAAAGCTTTATGCTGATGGAGAGTGCAGGATTCAGAGGGGTGTTCATACAAACACATGGTGCGTCTCCCCAGCAACTGTCACTGGAGTTGCTGACTGACATTTCCCAGCCACTGGCGTCAGTGAGGGTTGGCAGTGCTGGCGGGAGATGCCGAGGGATGCCATTCACAGGAAACCTGCCCCGGTTCAGATTCATGGCGCTGTCCCAGCTGCAGAATGCTATGGGATGGGATTTTCAAAGGAAGCCTAAGGGAGTGAGATTCACCGGGTGAGATGCTCACCCCTATTCTGGCCCCTGTACACCAGGCGTATGGGCTGGAGAGGTGCCAAGGGGCCCTAAAGCCCCTGTAGCTGGCTGTAGGAGGATTCTCCCAATGCAAGCACTGCAGAAGCAGCTGGAAGGCTGCCCTCCAGGCACTCTCCTGAGTTCTGGTGTTGGGGGCGTGCTCTGGTGGGCTGTAGCACCCTGGCCTGGATACCTGAGGCAGCCCACAGAGACTGCCCTAAAGCAGACAGGGCCCAAGGGCTATCTAAGTCACCCCAGGGCTTCTCCAGCCGTTGGAGCAACCCAGGATCAAGCACGGACAAAGGTGTCTCAAAGCCACCTTAATACCCATCCCCACACCCACCCGGGATTTGAGTTCTGGACGAGCCTCCTAGAGGCCTGGGAAAATCCCCATGGTATACCCAGCTCCTCCGTGCACCCTCAGCAGAAGGTGTGTGTCACAGATTTAGGGTCAGAAGGGCCATTCTGCTCATCTGGTCTGACAGTCTGTGTAACTTAGGTGCCTGACTCCCATAGGGATGCTGACAATCCAGGGCTAAATCCCACTAGACGGGAATGGTGCAGTCGGACAATTGGGCGTTAGTTATTTTATTATTCAATAACTAGCAAAAAGAATTCCTTCTGGGTCACCAGTGGGAGTGGGGAGATGCACTGGGCAAATGCCTGTTTAACTCTTTTTGTGGCCTCACCATGCAGTCGGGGGAGCATTTCCATAGTGTAGGCTGCTTGGGACACAGGCCTGGTCTACACTACAGCGTTTGGTCGACGCAAGGCAGCTTACCTTGGCCTGACTCTGTACCTTTCTATGCTACAGCGTTGCTCCCGCAGATGTACGTTGCCCAGCACACTGAGCTAATAACTCCACCTCCGCAAGTGGCCTAGCGTTTCGGGTGGTGCAGTCATGGTGATGCAGTGTCCACGTAGACACTGCGTTACTTACATCACCTGTTGGCTGTCAACCCCGCGTGGGGTTCAGAGCTGGAGTAGCCCTCCCCCGCCATGGGGCTGACAGCTTGGGCAGGGGGTGGGGTAGAGGCGCCAGCTGTCAGTGCCTCACTTCAGTGGGTGGAAGTGCTCCTGGTGAGGACGCACACCACGGAGAGAAGGAGGGTAGTGTGGACATGAAAAACGACAGTAATTCCTGCAGTGGCGGTACTTAACTTAAGTTGACTTAATTTTGTAGTGTAGACATACCCTAAGCTGGAAGAATTTGTGTAGCGCTTCTCAGTGGGAGACATAACCCGCCTTGTTGCATACATGGATTACAGCAGGGATGCTCTGCAGTTGTACACAGCAGTGGCAGGATGCACACCCTGGTGTGGCTACTGGTGTGCATGCCTTTCGTAGACGCCAAGGCCGGAAGGGACCATTGTGCTCATCCAGTCTGACCTCCTGTACAGCACAGGCCAGAGACCTGCCCCAAAGAAATTCCTAGAGCAGAGCTGGTAGAAAAGCAGCCGAAGTTGACTTAAAAGTGTTCAGTGATGGAGAATCCTGCATACCCCTTGGTAAATTGTTCCAATGGCTAATTATTCACTGTTACAAAATTATGCTTTTTTCCCCATTTTGAATTTGTCTAGCTTCAGCTCCCAGCCATTGAATTGTGTTAGAGCTTTCTCTGCTAGACTGGAGAGCCAGTTATTAAACATTTGTTCCCCATGGAGATACTTATAGTCACCCCTCAGCTTTCTCGTCGTTAAGCTCCATAGATAGACTCAGTGAGCACAATCACTATGAGGCAGGTTTTCTAATCCTTCAATCATTCTTATGGCTCTTCTCTGACCCCTCTCCAATTTTTCAACATCCTTCTTGAATGGTGGGCAGCAGAACTGGGCACAGGATTCCAGCAGCGGTCGCAGCAGTGCCAAATATTGAGGTAAAACAACCTCTCTGCTCTTACCCAAGATTCCCCTGTTTATGTATCCCAGGTTTGCATTAGCTCTTTTGGCCACAGCATCACACTGGGAGCTCCTGTTCAGCTGATTATCCACCATGACCCCCAAATCTTTTTCCTGGGAACTCATGATTTTGAAAGAGTCCCCTATCATGTAAGTATGGCCTATCTTTTCATATGGAATTGAGCCAGGGACGTGTCCCATTGTTATGGACACTGCCAGAAATTTAATGATGAATTCCTGAGTTAGCATAGTGGGGGGCTTACTGTTAGTAAGTTCTAATGGTTTATGAACATTAAGGGGCCATATCTTCTCCCTCATAACTCTGTGTTAGCAAGGACTCCAATCTGGGAAGACTTTCTGATTTAGTGAAACTGGGGAAAGATACCACCCTGGCTAAGCAGCCTCTGTTTAAATGTTGCCTGGAATACGATTCTCCTGCCTTCGTTTGCAGAATGCTCCCAATGAGCAGCCGTTTGGAGGAGAAACCCTGAGCAGAAACTTCAGGCAGGGTGTTTAGTAATAGATGATTGATTTGGAGTCAAAAGTGCAAAAATGTGAAGAACATTAATCTGACTGTCTTTGACCAGGAAGGATGAGGCAGATACGTCCCCTGAAGCAGCTCACAAAGCAGTGTGATCATTACCTAAACCATCATGAGGAAAGCATTCTAGATCAGTGCCTTCCCGCTGGTTCTCAGAGTGGCTGGGCACTAGGGGATTACTTCTCTTTTTATTAGTATTGCCTCTGTTGAAGTTTGTTTTTACAGAGACTGTTTAAGTGAATCCAAATATTATTCCGGTGTCTCATCCAGAGTGACAGATGAAGTGGAAATAACTAACACTTTTCATCTTCAAGCGAATTTCCAAACGCCAGTTTAATTTATGGGTCTAGCAACCCTTGTATTTGTGGTATGCTTTGTGCCTCCCACTGAGATCAAACCCGGGTGACATTCCTCCTTCGGCTGCCAGGCTCTCTGGGGTTGGTGCCAGTGAACTAGGCACTGAATATATAGTATCTCCAATGGGCTTATTACTTCTGAGGAGCTGGGGGAAAGTTGAAGGTTGATTTGCTTCTCAGTGAATCTGAGGAAGGATGCGGATTTCTGTTCTGTTGATTTGTAGTCCCTGTCTGTATGGCAGCTAGGTGGGCATTCATGAAGCTGAAACACATTAATTACGATTCAGTTTAAAAAAAGGAAAATAGTTTTACTCAATTGAATTTAATTCAGGCAGAAACTAGATCAAGTAAATGACTTGGGAATCATGCCCCCAAGCAAAGCGAACGTTTCTGACTCACCCTGTGAGGAGCTGGCGAGTGATCACATTGCAGGGTTCTGCGCCCTAAGTGGGCGTGGTGGGGACTTCGAGAAGAATTACATGGAGCAGCTGGAAGCACCAGGCCCAGAAACAATGGGCAACTCAATCAAGACAAGTGGACAAACGGCTCTGTTGTTCTCCCCGAAGTGGTGTGTGGAGTCATGCAACGACCCACGAGTGCAAACT